ACAAATACTCTTACTCTCTTCATTATTCCAGTTTTCCATATAAATCTTCTACTCTGTTTACAATTACTTGTCTGTCCCTGACATCCGTCACGTCTTCTGCTTTGAAAGTTAAAATTTGTCCTTTCAATCAATCTACCACTATTTTATCATTACTGTATCAATCTGCAACCGAATGCTCGGATGTCTTTCATGCGTCTTCTTAAAGCTTTGCACAACTACGCATATTTCATCATTGATTTCTGATAGACTATCCTCCACTGAAACAGTGCTGATCATTGGAAAAACAACAAAAAATATCTGGTTCTGCATCGATATCATATAAGGTGCAGTTCAAGAAAGATACCCAGCTAGAAATCTTACTGTCTTGAGGTATGCAGATAATAGAGTCGTTGTGAGTAGTACGCGGAGCAGGCTCCGTTTGCTTTGCAAAACAGCTGCGACATCGATCCTCTAGGAAAAGGTCCGGAAGTCCAAATTTATGAAGAATGCATCAGACACGACTGATTCAACTACTGACACAGTGAGAAAAACCATGGAGTAACTTCCAGCTCAGTCATTTAAAGCAATAGCACCATCAATCAGAAGTAAAAGGAAGGATCGCCCTCACATTCAGTACTGTTGATAGCCTGTCATATACTTTGCCTGGGAAATGGGTACCCCATAGCACAAAAATCTGCCTGTACCTTACATCAATCAGATCAATGTTACTGCACAGCATAACTGTTCTGACAGCAGAGCAAGAACGACGACTGAACTTGGTAAAGGAACGTTAGCTTCAAAGCATAGTTAGGGTTAAATGCCAGGAACTCGCAAGTACTGACGATATCTTCTTCAGGGCACAAGTAAATTCAGTAGAAAATAGATGCGAAAATTATGAAAAAGAAGGACGGTCTATTTCGAAAAATAGCTGAGCAGAAAAAATTTACTCCAGTCCATAAGCTTTTTGTGTGGGAGCCGAAACACTGCAAACTAAACGCGGTGGCCAGGAGAACAGCATACAACCGACAGAAACAAGATAGACGCAGATCTACTTTCGGAAAGAAATATTTCCTTCGACAAAGTAGTCTGCGCCTTAAAGACTGTAATACTGACACATACATATATACATATGCAGATTCGGACGCGCACACAAACAAACAATTCAGTCGTTATACTGGACTGGTGAACTCAAAAATTTTTTTTGACATTACTGGCAAAAAGGATTGCTGATCAGTTTGTTTTGCAAAACAGATTTTCCTGAAATTATTTTACACTGTGACCTCTTAAAAGGCAAATTATATTCCGTCGATATGTTAAAGGTTGATTATGAAAGAAAAAATGACATAATTATCATAGGATGAATTCCCAACAATTACACTGCTGGAATGATATGCATTCGCCAAGGATGATCTAAAGTGATTTAGCATTCCAGTGACCGAATGTAAGCAAACACTTCGATCCCATTCGTATAAAATCTTTCATAAACTTCCTATGCGTAAAATATCAAAAAGACATAAAATGTCATCGGTAGGTCATCGATACCTATAATTACAAAATTTACTTCACGGGGTGCATAAAAACCATTTATGGGTCAAAACTCTTGATTATATATTCAAAGCTACACAATACGCCAAAAGTCAATATAATCAATTTCTAAATAACTGGGATACCCTATGCAATAATTAAACTCAATGAGCTCTATCGCTTACGGCTACTATTAAGGCTAGTTCTATTATTATTATAAGTTTGAACGATTATATATAATCGATGTTAACCGTAAACCACTTGGTACAGACGTCAAATAATTACGACTTTCGCTTAAGGCCCATCCAAGACCTGGCTGCACCGAAGAGATAACAACAGTCAACTTCTAGTACAAACGTTCCTGAAGGCAATTACAAGTGTTTCCGATAATCTCGATAAAGACAGTACATCAACCATTACGTAACACCTTTCAAAGACTGTCAGACTCTCTTCCGAACCTTTCCACATTGCTAGATTTTGAACAGCCTTTCTTATACAGTAGTCGTCGACCGTCATCTTGTTCCACAGATCGAACTCAGAAAAGAGTCAGATACAGTCATTTCCTCACCCATTTCAAATACTGACATCCGGTTCATAACTCCACAGGAACGTCAAATTAAATTATTACAAATGACAATAAAGAACGAGGCATGCACTGCTGTTTAAAACATAAGCAAAACAAAAAGCAAAATAACAAAAATTTATCGTAGAATGAAGCTAAGCGATGAGCTAGGACTGCTTCGACGTCATAGCTTCTCAAAACAAGTTTCAAGTTCTCAGAACAACACGATTTTCGAAACTGCAAATTTTACAGAAAATTCTTACCAAGTTTCTTGATCCGCACCGATATCTAAGTTGTCGATGTCTAAGATTCCGGCGTCGCTGTCACTGCAAATCGCTGAATCACCATTTAGTGAAGTCATGTCGTTCGCTGTCGCTGCTTCGTTCATCGCTGCTTTGAAACGGTTAAATAATTGTGAAAAAAAGAATAACTGCAAAATTTCTTTAATCAGGCATCA